CAGAGCCATGTTCTGTCTCTGTCATGCTGTGTTAGTTGAGTTTGACATTCTACTTCATTTAGTTTTCTAGTATTTGATATGGAAAAGAATTTAATATTGTCTGTTTCAGGCTGCCAAACGTGCTGGTTGGCTCCCTGATAATGGTAGCACGTATCCTAAAACTAGCCATGTTGGTTTTGGTCTTGTATTGGGAGAGGATGGCAAGCGCTTTCGAACAAGGAACACAGAAGTGGTTCGATTAGTTGATTTACTTGATGAAGCCAAGACTCGTAGTAAAGCGGCACTTATTGAGCGTGGTATTGCATTAGATGATCCGTCTTTTAGTTCATGAAAAGATTTAATTGTTATGTCTATCTTTTGCAATTATTGGTTGAATATTCATGGTTCCTGTCAATTTGAAGTCATCATGGTAAGAGGTGTAATTATGTAACATCTTGCTTTCTTATTCTGGTTAGGTAAGGACAAAGAGTGGACTGCGGAGGAGCTTGAACAAACTGCTGAGGCGGTTGGTTATGGTGCTGTTAAGTGAGTGGTTTATGTTGTTGCTTTCTGTTCTGATGCTTTAAATTATTGGTAGTTATAGTGCCAAGTAGGTGATTTGTGGTTTCCTTGCTGGTGTCTTAAATTTTCTTGTAAATAATATAGTATTTGCACCTTGGGAAATGGTGCCAAGAGTGCACTGGTAGAAGGTTAGTCAAGGTCTTGGTGTTGATATTTTGCTGCAATAATATAGACCAAAATGTTGGAATAACATATACTAAATGTTCGTCACCTTTTCCCTTGAACTACATGGTGGAGCTGCTGAAATGTGTTATGGTATGTTGTTTTTATGTTCACTGTCTCTTAGACAGGACAGTTAATGATAGCTGTTGCCCTAGGACCTTATATACTCTTTTCAGCATATGGTTTGGTTGTTGCTTATCATTGGCAAAATTCAAAATTATATTTTTATATAGGCTATGTTTTTGTGGAATTCATTTGCAAATCAATACTTCAATTAGCAGATGATATAAATTCTATTAGAAGATTAAAAAATGACCTCATGAAATTCTATTTTAGGTCAATTTTGTCATGTTAAGGAGTATTTTCACCATTTTCTAGTAATTTTTTTTACTGTTTATATTTCAAAGGAAAAAAATTCACCATTTTCTAGTTGAACTAAATGTGGAATTACATATGATTCCAAAATAATCTAGATATGTTCCAGACATAACCATAATTGTTTCAGGAAGCGATTATTCTGTTTGAGTTAATTGGAAAAGGTTTTATCAGTTTTTTGGAATCCTTTATTTGCAAGACCTTGAAAAAATGTGAACTGTGATTTATTATACCATGGAATAACTGATGTAATTCAGTTCTAAGTCAGTCTCAAGAATATTATGTTTTGTAACTTTTCCTGGTACAACTCAAAGCTGAGCATGTCCATTTACTAATTGGCTTTTGCCATTTGAGTTGGTTTTATGTTACTGAACACACCGTTTCCTTTTTGTTTCACATGTATTAATTTATTTTTTTCTGTAATTAAGCTCTACACACTTTAACTGATACATGCCTTCTTTTCTGCACGACAGGTATGCTGACCTGAAGAATAACAGATTAACTAATTACACTTTTAACTTTGATCAGATGCTTAATGATAAGGTGCTGACTCTTTGCTGGTTGTAGAATGCAGAAGATTTTGTAATTTATCAGGATCAACTCTTTACTTGATATGGTTTTAGAAAAGCTTTATTATTCATCATCACTATTTGTTATCACTGTTCGTAGTTACTATAGCATCTCTCTCTGTACTAAATTAATACACTGCAGTGATTACCACGGCCATTTATTCATTTCTTCTTTACTTGATATAACAGGGCAACACTGCTGTCTATCTGCTTTACGCTCATGCTCGGATCTGTTCAATCATTAGAAAATCTGGTAAAGACATAGAGGAGCTGAAGAAGGTAATTTCTCTTGCTACTTGAAGTTCCAGCTTTCATAGACATGCAATTAACCTTTTCCTTTATGTGATTAGATTTGCATTCTAAAGCTAAATTGCTTTAAATAAACTTTTAAAGCTTTTTGTGTTTTATTTGGTTATTCGTGATTGAATAAGTTAATGGGTGCTGAACAATCTAGTTGGGCTCAGGTCACCGATTATTTTTTGAAACTCAGTGTAAGGTACCTCTGAGATGATGTCTAGACAGCTTATTCATATATGTATATAAACGTGCACATATAAAGATCATGGATATTTAAATCTGTGTATGACAGACCTACATACATCAGTTTCGGGTTCTGGTATAGACATGCACAAAAACATCTGTATTTATCTTTGCACACTCACATATATACATATATACATATATATACACATTCTTTATTCGAAAAGAAATACATGTGTACACATTTAAATCAGTAGTTATACACACCTCAAATTTTGAAAGTGACCCAAATCACATAAACTCTTTTGTATTTTGTTTATGCTTCAAGTTCCAAAGGTCTCTAATAATATTATTTTTATAACCATGTGCTGCCCCATATGTGGAAATTTCAGTCATGTGATTGGGATCCATGTGTGTACATGATTCTGTATTTTTTCTTAAAAAAGCCTGTAGTAGAATTTTTTTTTTTGGTTATATAATCTGTTGCTGCTCAGTAATATCAAAAATCAGATTCTGTGTTTCAATTTCTTATAATTGCACCAATTTTTTTTTTTTTTTTAATATAGACGGGGACGCTCATATTAGATCATGTGGATGAGCGTGCTCTGGGGCTTCACTTGCTGCAATTTGCAGAGGTAGGACATCAATCCAACAGAACTAAATTGTCTCTTTTGCGATGTGACCTCTGCTTGAATAACTGTGATAACTATTAAAAATGTGCTCTGTGATCAGATTGTTGAGGAGGCCTGCACCAATCTGTTGCCAAACAAGTTGTGTGAATACCTCTATAATTTATCTGAATACTTCACCAAATTCTATTCTAATTGCCAGGTTTGGTTTAAGATTAGTTATGCTTTTTGATACTGGAATTTCTAATTATTTTGGTATTGTAAGTTTTAATGAATTACTTGTTTCTTCATTAAAAATTATGCAGGTAGTTGGGTCTCCAGAGGAAACAAGTCGATTATTGCTATGTGAGGCAACTGCTACTGTTATGAGGAAATGCTTTCACCTACTTGGAATTGTACCCGTTTACAAGATATGATATTTCACAATGCAAATTCATAACCCATCATGAGAGGGTTAAGTATTGATTTTGTTTCGACCCCGGAAAATTTGTATACAGTATGATTTGTTGATGGTGGAAAAATTTTGCTATTTGCAAAAATGATAAGTAGCCAAATATTTTTCCAGATAATATTATTTCATTCATGTAGTATATGGGCAGTTAAATTTCCTAATGGAATGGTCTTATTTTCATCTCTTAGTTGATTCAATCCCGCTTTATTTAGGCATGGTACTTGGTACAAAGTTGTTCTGCGAGCAATGGGATGGATGGTGAATAAACACTGCACGGTAAGGCAACCGGTTGTACTGAGTTGGCTGGTTCTGCTTCGTCAAATGGCAACATAAATATCTGATTGTATTTGGTTCATAAATGTTTGTTGGTTAACCAAAATCTCTCCTTAAAAAATTTAATGTTTTGGTTGGTATTTATTAATTTAGTCGGTAAATAAATAAGTGATTTTGGTTTGTACAAAGGACAGGGATTGAACTTTGTCTGCCCGATCTAAATATGAGTAGCTCAAGTTTAATTCTAGAATATGCTTTTCAACAAATTTTGAAGTATTGGTGGGTTTTAATTAATTAGATATGGTAGGGTAAGTGTGCAAAGTAGTGAGACTGAATTTGGTTCATCCAATTTAGTTATGATTTAAAGGTAGATGGTTGGTGTTAAGAGGTAGGTCGGGATTTCCCCTAATAATATTATGCTTGTTCTAATATTAAATCATTACCTAGATATAATATTATTAAATTAAAAAATTAATAATTAATTCCGAGAAGTAAATTTCTTTCAATTTTCCACCTCTTTAAGTCTCAAAGGCACCTTAAAGGAATTCAGCAAATTAAAGCGTTCGATTGTTGAATGAACTCCAAACTTAATTGGGAATTAAATTTACTTATGTGACTTTGGGAATAGAACAAGAACTTAATTCTTTCATGTGATTCTGAAGCAGGAAAAAAAATATATATATATATATATATATTACATTAAGAAGTAACCCAAGTGTCATCTACTTTTATCCCTCTTAAGTTTGAATCTTAATCGGATGTTCGATCTTGCACATACTCATTTCTACGGAAACAGATAAGTATATATATATCTATATCTCACTGGCCATGGACATCCAAGCAAGTATGTTACTGCTATCTACTCTTGAAACCTTGAACATGTCATCAAGCTGTGTCATAAACTACTTCCTAACTATGAAGGTATTATTAATAATTAACACCACTATTAAAAAGAATCAATCCTAAATTAAAAGAAAAAGAAAAGGTTCCTTCACTTTTGGATGAAATTTCCTGAAAATGCTACGATCAATAAACTAGAAACAACAAAATAAAAAAGAGAAAAAGGCCTCAAGTTTTAGGTTAGGTTACGGGGTGCTTTGTTATGCTATATCAAAAAGAAAAAACTCGCTTGGAATATAGAACAACATGCACGTTGTATATATGTCGAAGAGGTGCTGTGCATGAATTAAGCAGTGGTCTTCTTGGCAAGGGAAGATAGAAAAGGTCCCCTTGAAGAAGTCTTCTTTGAAATGGTGGCTTTAGGACTGTATGGCCTGTGACCATCTAATCCTCCTCCATAGCTCTTGCACGACTTCATTCTCATCCTGTAACCGTACCCTTTCTTCGCAAGATCCTCCACGCTCTTTACACTTGCTAGAGATGTAAATGATTGAGACTTCCCTTGATAATACTTCGATAAACCTCTCCTGCTCATACCATAAACAATAATAATAATTAACCCACCATCAATATTAGAGATTTACTTTGAATACCATTCATAAATAAAGGTTCCAGAATGACACACTAACTTTATAGGGAGTTGGACCATGAGGTCAGATAATTGATAGAGAGGTCCCATTGGAGATGGCAGTGGTGAAGAACCAATATTGTACGATGATGCATCCTCTGTTAAATCTAACAACGAAGAGGATGAAGAAACAGAAATTGTTGAATCTTCAAAGGAGGATTCAACAGACGCTGAATCGCTCATAACTGGGTTATTGTAATCACCTTCCATCATCACCCAGTTACAACTTTCATCTCCATTATTGCTTGTCTCTATTGGCTTCAATTCCAGATGCTCAAATATTTTCTTTGCTGCTTCATCCATTTTGATCGATTCCCGACGCAACAAAAACGGGCTTCTAAGTGCTGCGTGATCTTAGAATAGGCTGCATACGCAAACATACATACTTCCTGCTGGATTCCAGTATCTATCTATTTATATATAAATACTTTAAAGGGAATAAATAATGGCTGTGTACGTAATGTCAGCGTTGGATAATGTCGAAAACACACGTTAATTTTATATATATATATATATATATGAATATTTGCTTAGAGAGGTAGGTATTTATATTTAATTTGTAATTATCAATATTTATATAATTTATGGTTAAAAATGAAGATAGAAAGTGGATAAGTTCAAAAGGGGGAAGACATGCATATCCTCCTCACCTCCTTACCCTCTTCTTTTGTAAGTTTGCCTCACAAAGTCGTGACACATGTGCCCTATTTTCATGCTTAACGCCATTCCCCATACCAAAACTGCGTATACATTTACCACCAAATAAATGCGATAAGCTTGGAGTGTGACGTACGTGTGAATTACTGTTCTCTGACCAATCATCTTCCACCACCTCTCACTACGTATAAACTTACAACTCTGACAAAATCAATTTTCCCACCCTGTTTTTTTTTTCCACTCGTCATTTTACCTATGCACCATAGATTTCCATGTGAAACAAGTTTATTTTATTTTGCCCTTTCTCTAATTTTTTTGAGATTAAATGGAACATAATGTGTACGTAGTAGATTAGAATGTTATGTAATGATGGTCTAATACCCTATTTATACATTAAAAAAATATGTTTATTACTTTCAAAATAATATTGTCTAATAATACATCATTAATAATTTTAATTTAAACTTTAAATTTAATGGGTTGGATTTAAAATATTTTGAGAATTAAAATATATTAATTATATTCATATCTTACTTTTAATTCACTTTGTATTTCTGAAATATTTATGATTTTTTTGTAAAATTGGTAATTTTTTTGATTAATTTCCATTACAGTGTAATATTTGGTTAATTGTAAATATGTACTTAATTAATAAACCATTAAGTAATTGGTGATAGAGATTTCAAAGCGATACCAAAAGGGTAATTGATGTTTTTTCTGTGACTTACTTTTTATGTTGGGCGTCTTGAGGCTGATAGAGAAATGATTGTGAAAAGGCATGACTTTTAAAGAAAAAATAATTTATTTTTGTTGAAAGCATGGCCCATGACTGGTTAAGATAAGGAGGTTGACTTTGGGGAAGCCTCAAATCTTCCACCACATGCTTTTGCTGGTACGCTCATCACTTTAGTCTTATCCTCCCCCACCACCACGTTATATTTTATTCACTAATTAATTATAAACTGTTGTTTCCACATCATTACTGTTTTTATTATCTCTTAACTCCTCATGTCTCCTTACTTTTCTTTTTCTAATTAACACCAATTACTTTCCAACTTTATCCTATTTTGATCAATTCTTGAAGAACATGATAATGTTTTATTTGTAAAATCATACTCTTTCTTTGAACATTAATATGACGTATAATACCTTTTTTTTTTATAGATAAAAGTTTAATATTTGAATAATATTTTTCACTTCCAATGAAACCTTAGATCAACCAACAATCAATCAACATACTGCCCGTTTTATGATTTCAATAATTAGTATTAGATAATTAGTCAGAAGTATTTAACATGTGTTTAATAAATTAAAAAATTAGTTGTGTTTATCAAGTCTTTAGAGATAAATATGCAGAATCTCAATAAATAAGTTGGTTTATATTTTAAATTCGTTGGATTTTATTTTGTAGTTAATTAGTTGATGTAAAACTTATTTAAAGGGCTGTTGCTTAATGAAAAGCAGAGCATTGAATTTCTTTCATTCTTTCAATTATTCTTGTTGTTATTTTAACAATGGTATTAGAGCCTCTACAAAGAGATATACAGCAGTAACTTCCTCTTCCTACGATGGCATCTGAAACTTTTGTCCAACCAGCTATACCTCGCTTTGATGGTCATTATGATCATTAGAGCATGCTGATGAAGAACTTTCTCAGGCCAAAAGAGTATTGGCAAGTTGTTTCTGAAGGCATACCACAACCAGCATTTGGCACATCAGTGTCAGAAGGGCAAAAGGCGGAAATAGAAGCAATAAAGTTGAAAGATCTTAAAGCCAAGAATTATTTATTCCAAGTCATAGATTGTTCAATTCTAGAAATAATTTTGTGCAAGGATACGTCGAGACACATTTGGGACTCCATGAAGAAAAAGTACCAAGGCTCTGCAAGAGCAAAGAGGCAATAGCTTCAAGCCCTTCGTACGGAGTTTGAAACACTTTGAATGAGGTCTGGTGAATCAGTTACAGATTATTTTTCACGAGTCATGGCAATTGTCAACAAGATGTGGATTCACGACGATAAGTTAGACGATGTTACAATGGTGGAGAAAATTTTGTGCGCAATGACTCCAAAATTCAATTTTGTTATATGTTCTATAGAGGAGTCCAAGGATATTGATGAACTCTCTCTTGATGAATTGCAGAGTTCTTTGCTGATTCATGAGCATAAACTCAACCAACAAGACCGAGATGAACAAGCATTACAAGTCTCGACCAACAATTACTCTTTGACTTCAAATAAATATGATCGAAAGCAGAATAAAGAACCAGCAACTTACAAAAGGCAGCAACAATCCCAAATAGACAATCAGTCCTCTGAGTCTCTTGGAAGATGGAGAGGGAGAGGAAAAGGAATAGGAAGAGGATGTGGAGAAGGAGGATCTCCTTCAGATACTCCTAAACCAAGAGACAAATCTAATGTAGAATGTTATCGTTGCCACATGTATGGACATTACAAATCTGAATGTCGTACTAACTTGTCTAAAACCCATGGAGAAAAATCACATTTTGCAGAAAAGGAAGAGGAAGAAGTTTTTCTCTTGATAGTGTGTTATGACAAAGAACATGTGGTATTTAGACACGGGTTGCAGCAACCACATGTGTGGTGACAAGTCACTCTTCTCCAGTTTAGATGAATCACTCTGAGACAATGTGAAATTTGGGAACAATTCCAAAGTGTCCGTCATGGGAAAAGGAGAAGTAATTATCCAAACTAACAATTGAGGCACTCAAACCATTTCTAATATTCTATTTGTTCTAGATTTAAAGACCAACTTATTGAGTATTAGTCAGTTGCAGGAGAAGGATTATGAGGTTTCCATCAAGAATGATGTTTGTCAAATTCAAGATACCAAATTGGGCTTAATTGCTCAAGTGACAATGATAGTGAATTGAATATTTCCTCTCTATCTCAACAATGTTAAACAAACATGTTTTTATGCAAAATTAAAAGACATGGCTTAGTTATGGCATTTTCGCTACGATCATCTAAATTTTGCTTGTCTAAGAATACTTCACCAGAAAAACATGGTTGTTGGCCTTCTAAAATTATCAAGCACATTAGATGTCTATGAAGATCGCATTGTGAGCAAACAACACCGAGAGCCACTTCCAAAAAGAAAAACTCGAAGAGCAAAGCAACTATTGGAGATTGTTCACTCCGACATTTGCAAACCAATCAATCATGTATTTAATGGAGGTAAACGATATGTTATTGCTTTTATTGATGATCTAAGTAGAAAAACTTGGCTTTACTTCTTACAGGATAAGTATGAAGCTTTAATGGCTTTTAAAAGTTATAAAGCCATGGTTGAGAGAGAAGTAGGCTATTCAATTCAAGTATTTCGGACCGATCGCGGAGATGAATATAATTCATATGAATTTAAAAAATTTTGTGAAGATCAAGGCATCAAAAAACAACTCATAACTGCCTACACTCCACAGCAAAATGGAGTATGCAAAAGAAAAAATCGCACAATCAAGAACATGGCGAGAAGTTTGTTAATAAAGAGTGAAATTCCAAAGAAGTTTTGGCTAGAAGCTGTAAACTAGAGTGTTCACATTTTGAATAGAAGTCCAACTCTCGCTGTTCGAAATATGACACTTGAAGAGACTTGACGTGGTAGAAGACCAAATATTAGTTACTTTAAAATTTTTGGGCGCATCGCTTACACTCACATTCTGAACGAGAAAAGAAAAAAGTTAGATGACAAGGGAGAAAAATATGTTTTTCTTGGTGTTAGTGATTGTTTAAAAGCTTATAAATTATATAATCCTAACACTAAGAAAATCATCATCAGTTGTGACGTAATCTTTGATGAAAAAAAGTTTTGAAAATGGAGTATAAATGGAGCTCCTATTCCTACAAATTTTGATGGAGAAAAAGATGAAGAAAAGCGGCATCCTATGGAAAATCAACAAGAATCCACCATTATTCAAGCAGAAGATGCAGTTACGGTTGTAAGAGAACCAATGTCATCACAACCTAGACGAAGGCCAGCATGGATGTGTGATTATGAGGTAACGGGAATTGATCAACTTGAGGATCCTCTTATCCACTTCTCTCTCTTTACAGATTGTGATCTTGTCATTTTCGAAGAGGCTGTTAATCAATCAAAATGGAAGAAAGCCATGGATGATGACATTACAACTATAGAAAGGAACAACACTTGGGAGTTGACAGAACTTCCACAATGAGTGAAAACCATTGATGTAAAATTGGTATACAAGACGAAATTGAAGGAGAATGATGAAGTTGATAAAGACAAAGTGCATTTAATCGTGAGAGGCTACAAACAGGAATTTTGGATTGATTACAAGGAAGTATTTGCTCCCATTACATTACATGATACAATCAGATAAATAATCTCATTGACAGCTCAAAATTCATGGCTTATTTTTTAATTAGACGTCAAATCAGTTTTCCTGCATAGTACAAAGTTTATAAGTTAAGGAAAGCTTTATACGGGCTAAAACAAGCTCCATGTGTTTGGTACAGTTGTATTAAAGCACAATTTTTGAAGGAAGGTTTCAACAAATGTCTTTATGAACATTCATTTTTCATAAAATCATAAGGTAGTGAGAGAATACTCATAGTCTGCTTGTATGTTGATGATTTAATCTATACCGAAAATGATAAGGCCATGTTTTACAACTTTAAGAAGTCAATGATGATTGTATTTGATATGTCTAATTTGGGAATCAAGCATTAGTTTCTTGGTATATAAGTAGTTCAATCTACTACATGTACCTTTATTTCTTAAAAAAAAATATTCCCAAGACATGCTAGTTGTAAAGACCATAAAATTCTAAAGGAAATAAATCA